AATCATCTGCAAATGCCACCAGATGTGTATCATCCCGCATTTCCAGCTCTAAGATATCATCGTAATAATTATTCCACAGCTAAGGTCCGAGGACTGATCCTTGCGCTGCTCCTGATGTGATTTGTTTTTCCTTTTGGTCTTTCGTGAGTGTCGTAGACTAGCACGCGGTTTTTCAAATAGCTAGCTATTATATCCATCAGGTAGCGTGGTACACTAAACTTGCTTTCCAGTGTATCGAGAATATCAGCCCATCTTACACTATTGAACGCGTTTCGTACGTCAAGTGTTGCAAGCAAGACAATGTTTCTTGAGTAGTGGTTACCAGTCTGTGCAGTCTTTACTGCTTCAACTATATCCTCTATTGCACCTAGCGTGCAGCGTCCTGTTCTAAAACCGTGCTGTCTCGGTGACAAGCCACCTGCTGATTCGAAAGCTTTTGTAAGTCGGGGCTTGATCAGTCTTTCAAGGAGTTTTCCAGCGGTGTCGAGCATGCAGAGTGGTGGGTATGCTTCAGCACGTGCTGGGTCGCCCTTACCCTTACTAATTAATGTTAGTTTCTGTTTCTTCCAAATTTTAGGAAAGTTGCCTTCCATTAAACAAGCACTGTACATTTCTAGTACACATGTGGTCGTTCATTACCAATCACTTTTAGTATCTCGGCTGGTATTCCATCTGGCCCCGGAGCTTTATTATTTTTTAGCGCGCTAGCACCTGCGGAGAGCTCTTGTAGTGTAAATAGAGGCGGCATTTCTCTCAGGGAATCATCTGCTCTGCTTGGGAGCACCTCATGTGTCGGGAATAATGTGTCAACTATTTCCTTCATTTTTGCGCTTTCTAGTGACGGGGTGGGTTGTCTGGCAACCAGCTTTTTAGTTATAATCTTGTATCCGGTGACCCATGAATTGTTGTTTATATCTTCTCTTAGTTCTTCCCACTTCGCCTTTTTGCTTTGGTTTATGGCTGCTATCAAATTTTTCTTAGCTATTTTAAACTTCAGCTCCTCTATTTCAGCATTACTTCTTCTCCGGGCTCTGGTCAGCTTTCGCCTGCACCTCAAACAGATGGTCCGCATTTCTGCGATTTGCTCGGTCCACCAGTATGCGGCTTTCTTTCGGGTTGATCTTCCCGCTTTTGACATGGAAACATTACAAGCTTGTAGAATGAGTTTAGTATGGGATCCCTTTCTGCAACCCTGCTGTCTATAGCAGCAAGTAGAGTTGGTACATCTAAATGGTCTACCCTCCATTTTCGCATCCTGCTAGGTTGATAATCTGTTGCAGCACTCTCCCGCAGTGTAATCCTGAATTCAACATACTGGCGATCGCAGCCGGTATAATCTTCCAGCACTTTCCAGTCTCTGAGTGCCCCTGAAAACGTATCCGACACAAGTGTTATATCTGGAGTTGTGGCTTCACATCCGGGTCTTCTGAATGTTGTAGCGAAACTTGAGTTTGCTACTGCAAGCCTCAATCTAGACACCATATCAAGTACGCGTCGATCGCGTGAGTTTGTCGTCGTGGAATCCCATTCGATTGCTTTAGAGTTGAAGTCCCCTGCAATAATTAGGGAGCCTCCGATTTCTCTAGCCTTCTCTTCTATATTATGGAGTTTGTTTTCAAATTCACCAATAGTGTCATTGGGTGTTAGATAGCAGCTTATAACAGTGTAGTCATTTGTCCTTACCCATACAAAACCTTCCCCGCTTCCATTACTTACAGCATTAAGTGTTCCTTTTGATAGCTCCCAGATAGCTTCGGTTCCAGTGTAGTCCTCATACCATCCTGTGTTACAAATTTTCTTGTATTGCTCGCTTCTGATGACGATGTCGATTTTTCGTTCTAGAACTAACTGAGAGAGCAGAGCGTCAGCCATCTTGCTCCTATGCATATTTGTTTGGAGTATTCTCATTTCGTTTTGCTAGCTTCGCACTTATGGGAACCCGGTATGTGGTCCACCTTGGTGTATCCTTTACTTGCGCAAATGCAGCATTTTGACGGCCTTGTGCACTCTTTCAGCTTGTGCCCGCTTTCTCCGCATCGGATGCATAGGCCTTGACCGTTTCTGTCAGGTCCTTTGCAATTGTATTGAAGATGTCCGGTTTCGAAGCATGTGTAACAGCGTTTTACATCTTGTAAGAGTTTTATTCTGTATCTTACTAAGCCCACACGAATACGTTCCGCCTTTTGAAGTGTTTTAGCTGCCTGGCTTGATATGCAGTCATATTCTCTCCGTTGTTCTCTGGTATTTGCACCAGAAATTTTTACATCTATTTGCTCCGTGGGTTCTTGGAGTGCAATTCTTACTGCAACTCTTACCTCATCATCTGTTGTAAGACTATTCTCATCTGTTGTAAGACAAGATTTCTATTTTTGCACAGGGCTGCAGTTCAGTTACCATTGCTGCCTCTCCCATTGTTCCTTTTAATTCGGCGTAAAAGTCGTTTTTTTCACCTCTTCATCATCTGGCTTTATCTTAGTTCGAAGGTCCTTAAGGATATCTGTGTATGTGTGTCCTTCGTTTGGTTTGATGAGGACAGCTTCCGGTTTCTCACGAATTCTGGGCTTCTCTTTTCGTTTTACCCTTTTCTTTGGGGGTGCTTCAGGCTTTTTTACCGCTTTTTGTTTTTTGCCTGTTACCATTACCCATTTTTCTTCGTTTTTTTCTTCGGCGCCTTCGGTGGGGGCTGCGGTTGGTGTCTACCGCATTGTTATTCCTTCGTGTCTTTTTTTTTACTTCTGCCTTAAGCCAACATCGATGAAAATAAGCCATCATAAGCCTCTTTAATGTCCGTGGAGACATTTCTTTGCCGATTTACGGCTTGCTTTATTTTCTTATAGGCAACTACGCATTTTTCGAATGTCTTCGCCTATTCGCTCTTCATTTTCTGGGTGAACTCATTTCCCGGCGAAATGAGTACACCATTCGTTTGTGGTGGCACCTTTGGCGTGCCCTCGTCCATTGCAGTCTTCTTTCGGCCATCTTGCAGTGACACTTTCGTTAACGTTTGTGGTGTGTTTTGTTTTTCCTTATTCATATTTGATAGGGTCCAAACTCCTAGCCGCTATCGATGTTCGATTGTATAGTCGCTCGTAACGATCCCCATGGTTATCTAAGCAAAACAGGGAGGTGACGAGACATCGAACGTACTCGGAGACTTGCCAAGTTTTAAAAGGACGGAGGAAGATGTGGCATTAACCTGAAAGCCATTTCTATGAGATGTCACTCTCATATACTCAGGTAACAGAATACCACATCCGCCAGCCCAAAAATTATCATTTAAGTAGTTTGTTCCAGTATGCCATAATCAGGATCTTACTGGGCTCAATCCTGATGGGTGTTTAAACGCTGAATTCATAATCATGTCTATTTGCATATGCATTGTCTGTTTCGGTATGCATTTTTTTCAGCTTTCGTGCCTAGCATAGTTTTCGTTGAGCACGAAAGAACTTCATCGATGGTGCATATGCCCGCTCTTGGAACAGTTCGCTCCCCTGTATTCCTCTATGGTACGCAGCTGTTTAACCACGCTCCGCGCACTTGGATGTCCCTCGTTGCCATCCCGGGATGGTGGAAGCTTACTTAGAGCCGGCGTCTACTTAATATATAGTTATAATTTGTTTTTGGTATTCACTACAGTAGTAGTGTTACATATATATTATGAGTCCATTTAGTTTATAGCCGTTTGTGCAGGCGTTAGTGGCATATGATACTTAGTTCATATCATTAGTTAGTGTATCATATGATACTTCCGTAAAAGTATCATATAATACAACTACACTTCAGTGTAGTTTTTAAAACAATTGTAATGATTATATAGCTTGATTTTTTTACCGAGTGAGATTTGTATTGTATCCAAAGTTGTATCAGTTGACAATGGAATCCTTCGTGATATCTTTGGATTAATTTTTTATATTACCATTGTTAGAACTATTCTCTTTGAAAAATAATATTTTTAAAATTTTGAGAAAGGGATAAAATATTTAATTACATTAAGTGAAAGATAAGTGACTATCATAAATATATGTGTATACTATATATAATTTATATACTTCTTTGAAAAATGTTATTAAATATAAGGTGTAAATTAAATTTTCTTATTATTATGGCATTTATTGAACCTACATAAAAATATTTCGTACTGATAGTAAATTTATAAGTTAATATAAATATTATTGAATAATAGTGTATATATTCATATTGCTTATCTCTTTTCTTACTAGTATATTTGTCAAAAATAGGTGTTTATGTAAATTATGCTTTAAAGATTATTTTAAAATTTATATTTTATTTAAATAGTTATTAAATCAATATTATCAATATTTTTCTCTTTCACACATTCACTATTTTTAGTATTTTATATACAGTATTCCCCCTATAACGCGGTAGATTGGGACTGCATTATAGGAAAACGCGTTATAGGGTATACCCCCATTCCACGCGCGCAAAGGTACGCAAAGCTAATTATGAACTGTACAAATCCCCGCGTTATATGGGAGAATGTCCGTATTTTACGGGGGATTGAAATCGCGTAAAATGAAAACGCGTTTTAAGGGTACTGCGTTATAGGGTGGATTACTGTATACATATTTAAATTAATGAAAAAAATCAATATATTTTCTCAAATCTTTAATGCATAAGAGTTTTTAATCGATTTATATATATTATTCATATCAGTATTTTTTTTAATCGATTTATATATATTATTCATATCAGTATTTAATCTGTATAAATCTACATGTACTTAATACCTAAAGGAGCTTAATATTGCATACTAACAAACACCGAACCCGCTTATAACTATTAGTAAACTTTACTAGCTACTATATATCATCTATTGCTATTTATTCATTGTTGCCAAAAAATTTGTAAATAATAATTTTTCGGAATCTGTTCCATATATAATTCACAAGTAAATGAGAATTAAATTGGCTTATTACTAGTGCGACTGTTAAACTATTTGGTTGGTACTAGTTAAGAAATATTAGCGTGAACTGTTTTAGAATCGAAATGTGATGGAACTAAGATTTTTGCCAAACACCACACAAACGACACCCTCAACAACATCACATCATAGTGACGAGCAACTAAATAGTGACGATACACAACAACAAATACAACAACATCGCTCGTCATCATCATGCGAGACACTGGAAGCGAGTGAAGGTATCACAACTACTACAAACACAACAACAACTAACACACAAACTACCAACAATAAACATTGTAATGGAGTGATTGATACAAATTCTCCACTCTCCAAACCGTTACCACCATTACCAACAAAAACAAATCAAAATGTCTCCACTAACTGTAACAATACAACAAATGCAGCTGCTAAATCGAACCATACAACCCCAACAGCTAAAGTAAAAGACAACAATTTCTATAATTAAATATTTTTTTTTTCCAATAACTTAATTAAATATTAATAATATTTTTCTATTTGCATCTTAGACAAACTTACATACTCATCTTGGTTCACATCAAGGAATACATCACGCTCAACCTTATCATCAAACTTCAACACCGGGTACTCCTTCGATGTTACACAAACGTGAATATCAACCACATCACAATCACAACAATCATCAGCCTCCACCAGTACCACCACATCAGAATAACAATCATCACTTGCACAATCCATATCACCAGTCAACTACACCGCACACAACGCCGGCTATGGAGCAGCATCGTCGCACTTTAGAACGCAGCGCACGCAATTTACACTATCAAATGCCACCAAATACACAAACCTCGCCGCATGACTCTTCCATGAATATTGAGGGCCTCCCGACACGTATACCCTCGCTGCGACGCACAAGACGTACTTCGGGCAATGCAAACAATAACAATGGCGGCGTGGGTATACCCATCGTACCGGGCAGTCCGCGTGTTCAACGCTCTCCAATGCCAGCGCGCGCCATGATCAAACGCAACAGGCTGGGTAGTCACAATGACAACATTTCGTCGGGCAGTCTCAACAGTATTGAAGTGTGAATTTATTTCTAAAGCAGGTTTAGGTATAGGCTTAGGCGTAGGCGTAGGCGTAGGCGTAGGCGTAGGCGTAGGTGTAGGTGTAGTTATAGGCGTAAGCAGTGCAAGCAATATAAGCTCAGTATTTACTTGAGGCGAGACTTAATTTAACTTTATTTTATTAAATATAATATTTTAATTATATATGTAAAAATAATATTACAATTAAAATTACTATTAGTCAATAGTACATGAAAAAAAATCAATTAAGTCATAGAGCAAATTTTTAACGCATACAAAAGATATAATCAACTCATAGGTTAACTAAAATGATTTTGTTTTTATTTTTAATGAATGTAAAAAAACAATTTTGTTTTTTAAATCAGTAAAAAAAAATGAATAAAATTTCTTCAAGACTGAGAACAACTCATAAATTCGAATTATAATATTAAATTCTTTGACTATAATCGATTATTATAGATTTTATTATTATTAATTAATATATGATCAATTTATAAAGAATAATGTCTACCTCCATTTTCTATAAAGAAATCAAAAAAATTACTTTACTTATACCAACTATCCCAGTTGAACTCTTAATTTTGATAAAAAATAATCTAAATAATATATTAATAAAGATATATACATATTGTATTCAGTAATAATCCTATTTCCATAGAGAACTTTTTGCGCTCAAAGATTTGATTATACAGTGAACTTACGCTTATATTTGCTTGCAATAAAAATATATAATAAATATATTTTTAATAATTAATAAATAATAATAATAATTATTATCGAAATATTTATCGAATCAATTAAAAAGAACAAAAATTGTTTAAATTGTAAATAAAACAAAATTAGCCTAATACTTCTTACGTTATTAGTTTAGTATTTTTATATAAAAATTATAATAAATAATTTACTCGAATTATTTAATTTTATATTAGTATTTTAGAAAAATAAATTAGAAAAGACTTATTATGTAAAACTTATTTTATAAAAAATTGTACTAAACTATATACCTATATTATTCATTTTAATCCTTAATAATTAATTTTAGTAACCATATCTTTAAGTTTAATATAAAAATAAAATACATACCATAATGTATATTGTATGTATTATTAAATTTATATATATATATTTATATAAAATTCTTTATATATGTAAAAAGGAAGCATATTATATGTTTGTTATGATATCCGTCCTGTACTAAAATATTATAAATAGTTAAAAAAAAATTATTGTTTTTCATTTTTAAATCAATAATATAAAATCTATATTATTAGATTTGATTTGAATATAAATTAAATCAATATTCATTCTTTAATAGTTTTAAAACATCACTAAGAAAAACCAACTACAGTTTTTATTTTAATCTTAATTTATTTTTTTTATTTTATTATTTAATTTTTTTGTTTTTTTTTTATTATTTACATTTCTTGTTTTGTTATTTTTTTATTACTTTTCTTGTTTTGCTATTTTTTTATTTTATTATTTCTTTTTACTTTATTATTTCTTTTTATTTTATTATTTTTTATATTTTATTATTTTTTTTATTCTATTTATTTCATATTTTTTTTTATTATTTTTTTTGTTTTAAATTTATTTTAACTTTGTTATTTTCATTCGTTTTCTTTCATATAATTTATTTTTGTATTTATTTTTGTTTATTTCGCATTACGGTATAATAAATATTATTGGATATCAGTTAATATATCAATTACACTAATTACAATAATTGTTATAAGCACAAAATTAAAAAAAAACTAAAAACTGTAGTTTTATTTATTTTCAAGTTTAATTATGTTTTAAAAATAACTCATAAAGCAACTAATAGTCTTATTATATATTTATATCTGTTCTTCTAACTCTTATTAAGAGTAAAAAGAGTCAATGGTCTTATTAAAGTGAATTAAATTAAATTATTTAAAATATTTGCATTACACCGATTACGAGCATTCATTTTAAATTATAAAATATTTATATTAATTATATTTAAAAATGTTAAAAAGTACTTCCTATTTCCATTTGTTTAATGAAATAAACATTTATTTATTTTTTAGTTTTTTAATATTAAAATATAATTGATGTTTCCTCTAAATTAATTTTGACTTTAAAAAATATTAATTAATATTTTGTTTCTGAATATTATATTATTTATGTTTGTTTTTACTGAATTGTATTTTATTTTTATGCATTTATTCATTGAATAATATAAGTAATGAACGTAAATATGTTTAATATTTTTAATTCAAAAATTTTGTTTATAAACTGTTATATTTATAAATGATTAATTCTTCCTGATACAAGCTTTGCTTGATAATTATATATATATACATTAATAATTAATTGTATTTTAATTTAATTAATTTTATTTTTATTTATTAATTTATATTATAATATATATTTATAAACAATAAATTAAAAATTCATAATTTAAAAACAAATGTATAATCAATTTTTTATTATGGTTCTAGTCCGGCAGATCTATATATTAGTGATATAAAAAAGTTCTTACGGATTTTGTCAATAGATGATGTTGGTACCCATATATCTAGCAACACTAATCAGATTGTGTCAAACGAGCACGAGTTTGAAAAGTGACATTTCCCGCCACATTTGGTTTTTTAAAGACAGTTGTGTAATTCGTTTCTTGTTTAAAAAGTAATATATATATATATATTAAATAATTATATATTTATTTTATATTATATTGGAAATGAGTGAAATATCTGTAGGAATATGCCAAATGAAACTTTATTACAATAAAAATGGTAAAATGCCAAAATTATGTGCGGTTTACGATAGGGATGCAGGGACTGAACGCGGTATCCATACCTGGTTTGCTCGATTCCGTCAGAGATGAAACCCGCTCTAGTCAGCAAGTAACTGATAAAGTTGATCAAAGATCGATACGCAAGCTATCAGGAGATAGCAAAGGCATTAAACATCAATCATGTGACAGTTTGGAATCATTTAAAAAGTGCAGGCTATACAAAAAAGCTCAATGTTTGGGTTCCACATGAGTAACCACAAAGATTTTGGATTATTCAAATTACTATCAGTGAAACACTCCTAAAACGTAATGAAATAGAACCATTTTTGAAGCGAATCATTATGGTTAATGAGAAATGAGAAATCATTGTTAAAGGCCGGTGATCCTCCACAAACGATTTCAAAATTTTCTACTGACCAAAATTGGTGACTGACAATCTCGGTGAAATTGGTGAAGCACAGTTTTTTTCTCCACTGTAAATTCTTAACCGCAACAAAAGTCATTGTAGGATACAACATTTTTTTTTTTTTTTTTTTTAAATATCTATTTTATTTATTGAATCTCTTTTATAAGAAGATTTACAATAAGTATTCAAATCTTAAAAACTAAAGCAAACAAATGAACTGACAATTATAACTGCAGTTAATTGATAATAATTAAAGCTAAAGATATTTCATGAAAAGCAAAGAATAAAGAAATAAATAAAATAAAATAAAAAAATACAAAATAAACGAAAAACAAAAAAAAAAAGTATATTAAATTGAAGTAAATTAAAGTTTAAATTAGGTTGATAATAAGTAAATATATAAAGATAGAAAAAGGAATCAGTGCGTTGGTATATCTTTTCTGCGTAATCTTGACGAAGGCCGCGTTAGCAATAGATTCCTTGCAAGGTGGTTCGGATGAATTTCAAGTTTTTGTTTGTATTTGCATTTGATTTTAGTGAGTTCATCTTTGATTAGTGGTATTTTCAGATCTTCATGAATTTTATCACTTCTTATATACCACGGAGCCCCAGTAATTATACGAAGGATTCTGGATTGAGTACGCTGAATTAACTCAATGTTGGAGGAACATGCATTACCCCATAGTTCAGCGCCATACTTCCAAATTGGCTTAAGTAAACTATTGTAGAGTAACACTTTGTGGTTTAGCCGTAACTTGGAATTTTTATGCAATAACCAGTGAATTTTTTGCGTCTTAAGTTTTATTTGCGTTCGCTTAGCTTCTAGATGTTTACGCCAAGTTAGTCTCCTATCCAAATGAACACCCAGATACGATACGGTGTTTGATTGCGGAATGGTGATGCCGTTGAAGGTTACTGGGGGACATGTGTCCTTACGTAGGGTAAATGTTACATGTGTGCATTTACTTTCATTTACACGAATGCGCCAGTTGGCTAACCATGTTTCAATGAGTTCGAGGTGTTCAATTAAGTCCCTAGATGCTATGAATCTATTTTGGTGAGAACTAAGGACAGCAGTGTCATCAGCAAACGTAGATGTCACAAGACGAGAGTTGCTTGGTATATCCGAAGTAAACAGGATATAAAGTATTGGACCTAGAACACTGCCTTGAGGAACTCCAGCCTTTATGTCTAGATTAGCTGTTGTATGGCTTCCAACTTTTATATGGAATTTCCTGTCCTGAAGATATGACTCTAGTATTTTGTGAGAGTAGTCAGGAGTGAGTTCCTTGATTTTATAAATAAGTCCAGCGTGCCAAACCTTGTCAAAAGCTTGTGCTATATCAAGAAATATAGCAGAGCAGAATTTTTTATCTTCAAATGCTTTCCTAATCTCATTTGTTATGCGATTCACTTGCTCGATGGTGCCATGTTTGGCACGAAAACCAAATTGGTGGTGAGGTATTATGTTATTTTGCTGTAGATATGTTGTTATCTTCCCGAGAAGCATTCGTTCAAAAAGTTTTGACAGCATTGGTAAAAGACTTATTGGTCTATATGAAGACGGTAATGTTAAGTTTTTTCCTGGTTTTGGAATCATTATAATTTGTGAAATTTTCCAGCTTTGAGGAAAGTACCCAAGTCGAAGTATTGCGTTAAATATTTTTGTCAGTATTTTGAAAGCTATTTGAGGTAACTCTATTAGCATTTTTGCTGTAATTTGGTCATATCCTGGGGACTTGTTGACACATAATTGGGTTTTTGCAACCTGTTGAATCTGTTTGGTTTTGAGTTTAAGACGCCCATAACTGACTAGAGGAGATTGAATTGGTAGTTCAAAGTTATTGGTCGGAGGATTTGGTTGAAATACCTGACTTAAATGGTCTGCGAACACATTTGCTTTGTCTACTTCATCCCTAGCCCATTTTCCGTCGGCTTGCCTGAGCGGTGGTGCACTCTCCTTAGGTGTTTTTAATTTCCTTACCGATCGCCATAGGGAATAATTCGTACTTTC